ATGATAACTTTTAAAAAGTACACATGTAATTTACTTTCTTAACACGCCCATGAATTAAATTTTCTATGGTTGTCTTCAATTCTTCAGAATCCTCATCACATTTAATAAAATTCAACCAAAACTATGATAATACATAATGCAAAGGAGGGGTTATCTTTTACAAACTTTGTGTTCCTTTTCTGATTGATCACAATGGTTTCCACCAAAGCATTGACTTTCCATGTAAATACATGCTAATTTTTGTAATAAATCATTAAATATGCTTAGAGCTTGATGTGATTCAGAAAGTGTCAACATAGTTTTAATGCAAACAGTTATTAAAGATATCGAACTTTTTTGAATTTTGCCTTTTAAAGACACAACCAAAACTGACAACGCTTCTGTTGCACCAGAGCAAGCATGTCCACTAAAGCGAATAAGGTCATAAATAACTAATTTAATGACAAATAAAATTGTACCTCTTAACTTCTTTCAAAAGCTTTTCAATGTTCTACAACAATTACAATATTTCATGACTAAATTAGATGATTAGAATACTTTTTCATCTGTGCTTTTCATCTCCATGCTAATTCCAATAAGGATTATTGGTAGTGAAACATAATTAAGTAAAACAGGATACTGTGCAGGAGGACAAATGACAAACAAAACAGCTTGAAGCTTAGCATCTCCTTCTAAATCTGAAGAGTTTAACTTCGCCAATATGTTTTGAATTATACTAATGAAAACAAAATAAGCTACAGAAAGGACATGGTTTATATTACCATGCTTTTTTGGAGTAAAGATACTCATAACTCTTTATTAATTCTTTGATAGTATCTGGTTTTACATCCAGTTCAACAAATGGCTCTGTAGGGTGATGGCCAACAAACCAATGATATAATGGCAATGCTTTCAAAAACAATGCCAATGAAACATCAGATTTAGGAAATAGCAAACATTTCCCAATTGCCAAAAAGATTTCTGCTATCAACTTTCTAATCATAAAGTATGGTTAATAATAATAATAATATTACATTTAAAGACTGACTTTATTAAATCCAAGTGTTGAAACTTAATTATGATGTCATACTGAGAACATTTGTTTAATGAATCACCATCATACGTCACTTGTAATGATGACAATATAGTATCAATGAAGTCTCCGGATAATGACTTCAAATGATGAGTCAAAAAGTGGCACAGTACTATATACTGAAGAATGCATTGAGGTTTTGGATTTCTTAAAAGTTTATCACTTTCCGTAATTAAAATCTAAAAAAATAAGTCATTAAGAATAAGAAATATGGCTACTTTCTTACCCTTCCAAAAGAAGTTTCTCCAGTAACAGTTAAAACTTTCAAATAATTTTCTTTGTGGTAAATGTTTACTTTTTTAGAAGACATTAAGGAGTCATACACTCTTGTAAGCTTTGAGTAGAATGCATTTACATCATCATGAGAAAGTTGTTTTTGAGTGAAATATGCACTTAGATATAATATAAAACATATCTCTCCTTCCTTCTTTCTGTCAGGTTCCTTAAAAATAGTACTACTGAACCATCTTTGATAAAAAGCTTTTAACTGTTGAGGATAAACAGGTGGATCATATATAAAGTATGAATTTTCACATATGTCGCCTTCTAAGTTACAAAAATTCAAAATTATATGCATTCAATAATATAATTTAACATACGAGTAGGAAGTGTATGCACTCGAAAGCAGGAATTGCAATCATCACTCTTAGCTTCATGCATATAGAGTAGCTCTTCAAGGTTAACATTGGGGTTGAAAACCCAATACTTATAATAAATTTTTCTTCCTAAATACTTTTTATGAAACATAACTTTCGCTGTCATTACAGCACATTTCTCTTTCAACCTATAAAGTATAAATTTAATCTACATGCATGATGAATGGTTATCTTACTCAGCCAAAACAAAATTACTGGAGCTAATTTGATCAGTATTATAAAAATGCAAGGCAACTCTGAAGTTCTCATCAGTAAAATTCCAGTTTTCAAAATTCAAGAGAACAAAAAAATGAACATCAAAGTATTCTTTTCTATAAACTGACATAAAAGATATTACATAATAATACAATTCTAAACCTATCAGACTGAATATGACCTTGAAGCTGCCTCTGTTACCAAATAAAAATAAATATTTTTTGATAAATAACATTATACCTGTGATTGCAGAAACATCTCCTCTAAAAAGTGAATAATGCTTATTAAAAATCATATGTGATACAATAATTTTACCTTCTAAAATACTTCTTACACCTTTAAGTAAATTCTGAATGATTGGCACCAAATCTGCCTGTTGCTTAGTATAAAGAGCTTCAAAAAATAATGAAAGGTCTTGAGAAAATTTCAAGTCACTAGCTAACATTATCAAGCCATCAGAAACATCAGAGCAAGCTTTAAAAACAAAATTGGCCTATATAAAAACTATAATGAGTGGATACATTAAAAAATTGCAAACCTCATCAATTGCATCCTGAGTCAACGAAATCACACCAATTTGTGGCAACAGTGATGAGACAGATTGAAGGTCTTGAATAGAATGTTTACACAATGAAATGATATCACATTTTTTATTCGGATTTGCAGTATAAAGGGAATAAAATCTTCTCTTGGCCATAAAAAAATCCTTTCTGTTTAAAAATTTATAGTAATTTATACATCACATAAAAATACCAAAGATATTATACACAGAACAGGATTGGAAACAGGATCACGTGAGTGCATTATGCATTGAAAGCATCCTAGTTTGCCAGGAACTGGTAAATTAAGATTGACCGTAATGGAGATCTGCTAAAAATACTTTGTGAGACTCTAGCAACTACATCGGATGACAAAGCAGGCTAGTGGGAGCCTCAATGACAACCTTTTAAGGGTCTTTAGTGAAATAAGGCATTTATTAGTGCTTATATGCATGTTTTAGGAAGTTATGGTGTGCCAAAATAGATATCTTAAAGGGTAACTAAACTTCATTTTTCTTTTTTTCAATAATCAAGTCATAGTATCTATACAACAAAAGAACAACAGTCATGCACTTATTTCCATCAAAAAGTCTTTCACTTGCAAGATAATGCACTTTACATTTCATCTTTTTTTGCTGACAGCCATCTTCTTCCTGTTTAAGCAACAATGCGGGGGCGTGCAATTTGTGATGTCATCAGATGAACTGATGGCAGTTCCTTGCATCTCTTTTATGCAGAATAGATGTGTTATAATAGCTGCAATAATACAAAACAAGGGCA